CGCAATGCGATGTGTGCTACGTGTAGTCTTGTTTAACATTATAGACATGGTATGCCTGGTGGCCGCCATGGAATGCAGGGAAATGTCCGTTCGTTCATATGCTTCCAAGTCTTACTTAGCATGGAGCTCATGTCGATGATCGTCTTTCCTGACAATGCAGATTGCAATGAGGTGTCAGGAGTGGCCAGAATGGCATTGCGTGGACGGAAGATCTGTCTAGCAAGAGCAAAGACTTAGTGTGATCATCATGACAATCCACTTACCAACCAGTGCTCTAACAAAGCAGCAACGAACCAAAAGAAGTCATACGCAGCAGATGGAGTGGTCAGAGGGTTGCGATGCAGGCTGCACTCATGATGGCTGTCAGAAGGAGGACAGAGATGCATGGGTGTACTGCTCCCTGGCCGACCGTCCATACCCGTAGTGTAGAAGAAGAAGAAGAAGAAGAAGAAGAAGAAGAAGAAGAAGAAGGAAATGCAGAAGTAGAGGAGGAGAGGAACAGACTCGAAACGGGACTCTGGTCAATGTCTTCCTTGAGACACACATCCAACATCATCTCCAGTTCTCAAAAAAATGCTTACTAATTACTCCCAGAGAATCTCTTGACTTCCTCTCCCTCTCCTTCCCCCCCTCTCTCTCTCCCTTTGTTATGACCCTGGCCAATTTCGAGATACACATTCGTCAGATAGTACAATGCCGCCCAATTGCAGAAAGAAATGAATGAACTTGAGAGGAGAGAGAAGGTTAGAAGAAGAAGAAGAAGTAAGAAAGAAGAAGAAGATGATGTACACCAGCATAGACAAGTGATAAAGCTCTTCTTCTTCGCTCAACCCTCTCTTCCTCCTTATCTCCTCCTCTCTTATTCACACAAGAAATAATAATACAATGTTGAATAGCCGAACCAGAATCAAGGTCCGAATCCCTCTTCTGCTGCAGGTATCACTTGAGGTCCACCATAGCCATGGCCACCTCCCCCACTCTTCACTCTCATAGGCCGAGGCTATGGCGGACTACTTGGGCCTTGCCCTGCTGTGTGAAGGACAACGCAAAACAGCTATGGCTGCTCTAGCTCAGGCCGCCATGCCTGACTCTGCCTCGAAGCTTCTTGGTGTAGCTCTCCCCAGCTGGGGTCTCCCTGCCAGCGCCCACCAAGGTGATGAAGATGGCTGCCACCATAGCCAGGTAAGTACCTCTGGCGCTCCTCCCCCTTCCTGTCCTTCTTCCTCCTCCAAGTCCTTGCTTCTTCCCCAGCAGTGCTGCTCCAGGCTAGCGCTGCTCCAGCCAGCGCTTCAACCAGTGTGTCGCCAAACTTGCACACCGACAATGAGGCTGGGCTCTTCGCCCGGCCTGGAGATATAGCGGCCTGCTTGCCTCGTGGGCGGTGACTTCCAGGCCGTTCGGCCTTCCAAGCAACCGGTACCTCCTCCCTTTCGGAGGGAAACATCATTGCAGACTCTGATATTGCCTGTACAGGCCCTAGACTCAGACTGGTACCCGCCTAGACCTAGCCTACAACTACTGGCCTCTAAAAATGCCACTTTTGTCTTCTTCTGCTCGGCCTCCAGTACCCGGCACATCTGCCGCTTCAGGGTGTGGTACCGGCCTACCTGCTACTTGAGTGTTTCCCCGCTGCTTCAAGTGCCGCGGGCCTCTCTCCCCGCCACTTGAGTGTTTTCCCCCGCTGCAATCCTCAATGCCACGGCCACTGTAAGTACCGGCCCTGAGGGCCCAACGAACGAACAAGTGCCCTTACGGGCCACACACACACTCAAGCCAACCAGCACTCAGACAGAGATGCAGTCCAGCAAGCGTGCACACACACAGACTTAGTAGCAATCGGGAAGCTCAGCAAGGCATTCAGTCCATTAGCAAAACTCAGAAATCAGCTGTGTGTTTCAGTCCATGTTCGGTCGGGTCATCACACCTTTCAAGTTCTAGATTCCTTGTTGCCTGGAATGTGGCACACTCTCTCTCACTGATATAAACAAGAGTAGCGGAGCAAACTGATGGGCGAGAGGTGACGTCTCAATGCCGAGCCTCATGAACTCAAGCCTGCACGGCTATGGCTGCCATTGTGCTCTTTCTGCAGAGTTCCTCCCTCTCCTTCCCCCCCTCTCTCTCCCTTTCAAGTTCTAGATTACTTGTTGCCAGGAATGTGACACACTCCCTCTCTCTCACTGATATAAACAAGAGTAGCGGACCAAACTGATGGGCGAGAGGTGACGTCTCAATGCCGAGCCTCGAGTCGCGGATCTCATGAACTGAACCCTGCACGGCTATGGATGCCATTGTGCTCTTTCTGCAGAGTTCCTCTAGCCTCCAGCACCTACTCTCTACGACCGGTAGTGTGTGCCAGGTTGCTGAACAGTGGCCTGCCTGACGCTTACGTGACTGACTGAGCTCTGCCCTGTCTCTGTTCTCTTCCCATACTGTGATCAGGACTCGGTACCGACAACACATCAGTGACTGAGCTCTGGCCCCTCTGGATCGGCCAGACGGATTAAAAATAGTTCAGGTGACTCTTGGCCAACTGGCCGTCCGTTTGAAAGCGTGGAACACCAGAAATATAAATGCAGAAGTAAAACCAGTCCATACAACTGAGAGGCAACAATAGCTGGGAGCCCCTTAAAAATTTAAAGCCACTGGTTGAGCCGGCTTAGTCTGGCCTGCAAGCCAGCCGATCAGGCCCGAGCGTGCCCGCACCCTAGGAGCTCACCCATCTTGCCTTAAGAAGCTGAGAGACTGCAATGGTGAAGCCACCAATCAATCTGGAGGAGGACCTCGCATTGTTGAGATGAAGGGGTGAGCGGGGCTGGGTTTGCTGCCTGGCACGTTGTCGGTGCTCGTTTTCGGCAGTAATGTTTGGATTCAACGAGGTTTGGATTTTTGGAAATATTTTTTTAATGGGCGACTCTCCGACTGCGTGGGCTAAGAACCATCCTGTGGGGGTCACCTTGGTTGCCAGGGTGGGCAGGCCCGGCTGGGCAAGGGCCAGGGAAGGGCCCTGCACAAAAACAAAATCCAAAAAATCTGAAACACACAAAAAAAAAAACACTATGCTATGCAGAAAAGTAAACTGAACAACTTTTGCCTCATGGTCAAATCGCAATGCCTTACCAAATTAAAAATAAAAATGACAAAACGAAATTAGGGGGTTCTGCAGACTGTTGAGGGTTCAGCCTCCTCCTGATGAGTCCGACTCGGTGAAACTCCGACAAAACAGTTTGTCACAGCCCCTCCCTCGTTTGTTGTCCTCTTCTCCCTCTTGTCCCTCTCTGCCTACGGTTGACCGTAGGCAGCTCCTCTGTTTGACGATATATCTTTTCTGGGCTATGAACCGGGCCGCCCATACCTTTGTTGCCTGGGCGGCCCGGCCGGGCAAGAGCCAGGGAAGGTCCCTACAAAAGAAAAGAAAAAAAAATCCGAAAAAAATCTGGAAGCAGAAAAATAAACTTTAATAAAGTGAACTTACCAAAATCAAAGTCAACTTAAAAATAAAAAAAATATTATTCTTTTTATTTTTTTGGCCTGGCTGGGCAAGTGGGCTTCGGCCAGTCTGGTATGATGGGAAAAGATGCAATCATGCGTAAGGCCACTCTGGTAGCCTAGTTTGTTTGTTTGTTTGTTTTGTTTGTTTGTTTGTTTTGTTTGTTTGTTTTTGTTTGTTTGTTTGTTTGTTTTGTTTTTTGGCCCGACTGGGCAAGTGGCCCGGGCCCACTCTGGTCGCCTAGGCGACTGGCTTGAGATATCATTGTCTATAACTGGACAGCCCCAGGTAACTCAGAATTATGTGATGTCAGTCACTTAGTTCATCTGGATTCGAACTCAGGTCTGCATTTTGACAGGTCATTGGCGTACTAAGTGAGCTAGGCCTGTGGTGACGTTTGGATTTTCCATCTTGAAAATTTAATGTTATCCTATTCAACAGACTATTAAGATAGCGGCAATGTACAGACCAGGTCCCGTACAAATTCTGACAGATCAGTTAACAGGAACTGACCAGACGCCTGGCACACATCTGAAATAATAATGCGATCTCTGTCGAAACGTACATTCCGACAGTGAAAGACATGGCATTGATCTCTCTATCAACTTGAGGCAGAAAATCTACAGCTACTGTCTTCAGCCGAATAGAATAATACCTGGTCATTACCCCTGTATATCTAGACTGGAAGTTGTGCGAAATGCAGCTAGACTGAACGGGCATTCTATTCGGCTGAAGAGCGTAGGTCGGCATTCTGACAGGCAACAAGGGAGGTAGGTACGTTGAACCTTGCAAGAGTATTTCTGAAAGTCGCCCCTGATGTTGTCGGTGTTGTGCACCGATGCACTCATCACTGGCTTGACTTGACTTGTTGCTGTCGCTGTCCTCGGATTTCTCTTTCTTTGCTGCAGGCACGACAGGATTGCTGCCTCTGTCCTGTCTTATGCAAGCCGGGGCATCGCGTGTTCTTTGTCCTTGTCTTGAGGACGGTCTGGATGTCCCGGGAAATGGAAGGTCTTGGCTTGTTGTGAGAAGTATGCTCTGGGGTCTTTCCGGAATTGCAAAAAGACGGAGCGGTGAATAAGATCCCACCCTTAAGGAAAAGAAGGGGTGCTGCTGCTGGTTTGATATTGAAGACTGTGCGGTGGGTTGTGAACGACAGCCAAACAATTTTCCCAACGGATAGTGAAGAGAGTGATAGTTCTCGGTGTGTTATTTTGGAAACGCTGCGCGAAGGACTTAGGCTCTGTTGTGTCTGATGGCCAGAGTCTTTGCAGTTGTTTGCCTTGAGGTCACCACTGGCATTGGGTTTTTTACCGCTTCCCCTCTGGAGTTAGTGATCAGATGTTTCTGAAAGAGATGTATGTATTTGTTTCTTGAGGGACTGCAAGCCGATTTGTAGGGGGAGGGGGAGGTGGGGGGGGGGGGGGGGGGGTTTTAAACAGTTTGGGTTCTTCTGGGATCTGCATACGTTCGGGGTATCGTCCGGGTTTTCGACCGTCTGCAGGCGTGGTAACTCGTGTGTGAAAAGATGAATCTGCATATCGGTTCAAGACCACGATCGTGGGCATTGCCCTCACTCGTGCTGGTGACGTATACGGGGTTTGCCTGGTTCATGTTTGATTGGTTTACGATGCGTGGAAGTTTTCAGAGTTCTTCCTCTTCGCTCTACCCACCGCGGCCAGCTCCACATTTTCCAAAGGACCCTTTGGACTTTATCTGTGTACCGAAGAGCCCCGTTCCTCAACCGGGTCGCGATGACCACACATCTGTTTACAGTCAACTTGAAACGGCGTCTGCGATCCGCAACGACAATGTACAACGGCAACAATTTCTAATGCAGGGGGACCCACGCAACCCTGCAGGCGCTCTTGCGTTCCGGCAGCCACATGTTATGGAGACGTGGGAACCGCTTTATCATTGCCCCTTCGAGGAGAGGGTGGGACCGTATGGAGATGGAGGGAAGTGGATGTGTCGGGTACGCGACTATACGGACCCGAGCTGTGTTATCTATTCGTTCGGATCGTTTAGCGACCTCCGCTGGGAGCGTGACGTGGCCCGCCTCACGCAGTGCAGCGTCCATATTTACGATCCTACCCCTCACGTCGTTGACTTTATGAAGGTCGTCCATTCCGAGACTGATGCTACCAGCACACTCAATACGGTCGCCAACACGATGAGCATAAGTGCGTTGCCCCGAAGGACGCAATACCACCCCTGGGCGTTTTACGAGCCTAGCAATGTACTTGCCACAACTTTTCTTCACAAAGTCTTTCCGAATTTCACAGGGGGTAACCTTCGTTGGATCGTGGAGAACACCGGTTCAGGCGTCCCACAAATCATTAAGATGGATGTGGAGGGATCTGAACTCTTTATCGACTTCAAGGCGGATGCCGATTTGTGGACACAGGTTCACATGTTCCTAGTCGAGGTGCACTTCTCCATTCTTACCGAATGGATTCAGACCGGCTTTTACAATGTGCCCCTCGGACCTAATCCTGAGTGGACCTTCTTTTCCGGATGGATAAATACTTTATACGACCTTGGATTTCACATGTTTCACAAAGAAATCAACCTTTTTGTTGCGAACGGTGGGGTCTGGGAAATCGCATTTGTCAACACCAAGATGTTCTGAGTGAGGGAATGGCGTGTCGTAAAAGTGGAGTTCGACGGAGATGCTTAACGGCTCTCCGAAAGTGGAGTTCGGCGGAGATGATGCTTCACGGCTGTCCAATGTTGTCACTCCGACTGGCAAACACTTATTCTGATGGCCCTTTTCAAAAGAGAGGGTAAAAAAAAAAGGAGCAAATAACTTGAACAAGGGAGGTTGCAGGGGTCTACCTTTGCGGGAGGTTCGGGGCAAATGTGTTGCGGAAGGGATCGGCTCCTTGGAGTAGACGATGGAGAGGGAAGAACCCTGAGGAGCAGCAGATCCTACGCTTGCGTGTCGAAGCGCGGGACACGCTGGATGTAACTGTCTCACCGACTTGGGCACTCGCGAGTGTTTTCAGCGTGTATTTTGACCTACTGCCCCCTGCATTGATCATTAAAGCACCAGTGCTTGGCCCAGCTATCGGCCGCGGGAAAAAAAATAGAGTAGAAAAGTTTCCAGTTGGATGACTTTGGTCGCTCCTGTAGTGGCCGGTACGTTTCCTAAAATCATGGCTTGTATACGGGCACGGCTTTAGGAAGCGTACTGGTGGTTTAATTAAGCTTATCGCTCTTACAGTTGGCGTAGGGTCGGGTCTCGGCGGACACTGTCTAGGTCTTCGTGAGCAGGTCTGACTGTCAGGAAGACTGACATTCTGGAAGTCTGACCGTCATTCTGCGGGTGTACTCACAACTTTTTCGACCGATCTGTGCATGCAATTATGATCAGATACGCCTGGCGCGTACCTTGATTGTGGTCAGATGCATCGAAAAAGGTTGCAGTGTGAGTATGCCTGCAGATGGTACTGCCTGCTGCTGTCGTTGGTGGGTAAATATATTGCATGCAAGCTTCAGGTGCATGGGTCAAGGACTCCAAGAGAGGGGGGTGTGGGGGTGGGAGGGAGGAGGGAGGAGGGTGGGGGGGGGGGGGGGAGAGTCTATCACCCTCTGGTATGCTTTACAAGCACGAGAGACAAGATTGGAAGAGAATTGAGGGAGAGAGTCACAGAGAGAGAGAATGGGTGAGAGAACGGGGGGGGGGGGGGGGGGGGGGGGGGGGGGGGGGGGGGGGGGGGGGGGGGGGGGGGGGAGGGGGGAGGGGGGGGGGGGGGGGGGGGGTGCACTCTATCACCCTCTGGTATGCTTTACAAGCACAGGCTGCAAGATTGGAAGAGAATTGCGATGTGCGATTGATGCTACAGACATCTGACTGCTCCAAAGCTGCGCCGACATATGATATTTATGTCAGCTGCCAATCAGTCGTAGCTGTTGCTTGTGCAACAGGAAGTGTGTGTGTGTGTGTGTGTGTGTGTGTGTGTGTGTGTGTGTGTGTGTGAGGGAGCGGGGGGTATCAGCAGCATCCCTGGAAGCAATGCAATCCCTTTGTCAGTGGAGAAGATCCATGAGAGCTGCAATTCACGAGAAGGTGCTAGAAGACGAATTGCAATATGCAGTAGTAATTGCTGCAGTGCTCTGAAGTGCAGCGTTTGATTCTCTTGTACCTTTGCATGCGATTCTGTATCGGACGGATTCCGTATCGGACAAGTGAGTTGTTGAAGTGGGTACCTTGGAACACAGCAGACATACAACTGATCAGGAAATGACAGTAGTCACGGTACAAAGGTAAGAAGTCCTGCTTAGACAGCAATGCATTTGCCTGGTTGGGTCGACAGGGGTGGCCGTTCAACTTTTTTTTTTTCAACTTTTTTTTTTCTCTTTTTTTTTTTTTTGAACTGATATAATTTTGCAGTCGGCCGATCGCGATGGTCTTTTGGATTGCAGAGTGTGAGTTGGGGGGGAAAGAAAAGTGGAGGGATTCACTACACAGCTCTGTTCGTAGGGTAAGGAGTTTGTGGCGGACTGCACGTAGCAGGAGGCCCTTCTGTTCTGCAGTGTGGCATCACCCTGCCTGTTTGCACTTTTCAAAATGGCCCTCCTGAAATACACACTCCGGGCACTCCCTCGACCGACTAACATGGTGCGAGAACCGGGTTGGAATTATCTTTTCGTCGTTTTCTGTCATCCTTTCATACATGCATTTTTGGATGTCTTGCTTGAGATATCCGGGTTCAACTTGGAGTTATCTTTTCGTCGTTTTCGAGTTACACTTGCGTATTGCTTTTAATACTTTTATCAAGTTTTAAGTTTTAACTGTTTTATGTAGCACAGTTAGTGTGAAGTTTGTTGCATTTTTCTTGGGCATCGGGCAGAAAGGTCCAGATGCATCTCCGTCTGCGTGATGCTGGTGCGGCAGCAAAGTTCAGTCTGACATTTTGAACCTCTAGTTTGTGTTTACTTTGTCAAACAAAGAGTGTTCCGCTGGGGAAGAGGGCGCCCGCCCGGGTGGTTTTTTACCCTTGTGGTTTGTTTTTTTACCCTTGAGTTGATAGAGAGAGGGAAGCAAGACGGAAAAGGTAAGGGATGATACTGTTCAGTGATGAAGGTGTGGGATCTGAATCTCAAGGGGGAGTGGAGAAGTAGTAGTAGGAGGGAGGATTGATAGCATCAAGTGCACTGCTGCTGAGTTGTAGAGTGGTAACTCAAGGATGCGGAGTTAAGATGCGGACAGACATTGAGGTGAGGTGATTGGAAGTATATATATATATATGGCACACAATGGCGCACTGGACCGATGAACAGGAGGGGGTTGTGTTTTAACAGCTCACGAATGGTTTATGGAAGCTGGTTTGGACGGTGGTCCGACCACTGGTTTAACAGCTGGTTCAACCGCCGGTTTGACAGCTGACAAATGGTCTGGAAACTGGTTCTACAGCTGGTTTGACAGCTGGTTCGACAGCTGGTTTGATAGCTGGTTTGATAGCTGGTTTGATAGCTGGTTTGATAGCTGGTTTGGCAGCTGGTTTGATAGCTGGTTTGATAGCTGGTTTGATAGCTGGTTTGACAACTGGTTTGGCAGCTGACAAATGGTCTGGAAACTGGTTTGGCAGCTGGTTTGACAGCTGGTGTAAGAGCAGACAAATGGTCTGGAAGCTGGTTTGACAGCTGGTTCAACCACTGGTTTGGAAGCTGGTTTGATAGCTGGTTTGACCACTGGTTTAACAGCCGGTTTGACAGCTGACAAATGGGCTGGAAACTGGTTCTACAGCTGGTTTGATAGCTGGTTTGATAGCTGGTTTGATAGCTGGTTTGATAGCTGGTTTGATAGCTGGTTTGATAGCTGGTTTGACAAATTGACAGCTGGTTTGACAAATTGACAGCTGGTTTGACAGCTGGTTCGGCAGCTGACTAATGGTCTGGGAACTGGTTTGGCAGCTGGTTTGACAGCTGGTTTAAGAGCAGACAAAGGGTCTGGAACCTGGTTTGACAGCTGGTTCAACGACTGGTTTGAAAGCTGGTCTGGAAGCTGGTTTGACGGAGGGAAAAGCGAGCGAAGAAGAACAGTCGAGAGGGAAAAGCGAGCGAAGAAGAACAGTCGAGAATGTCTTGCGCGGTTTTGTTGTTCGGGGGAATTTGGTCCGGAGCTGAACTGGGAGTAAAATGGACACCTGAGGTTTTGTGAGTATGGAGGAGAAGAAAGAAGAGTGTGGAGGGAAGAAGGGTGGTCCACAGTGGATTTGAGCTGCGCGACGCCCTAGGATCGTACAGCCAGATTACAGGAAAGATGATTCTTTGGTAGCCGGAAGGGGGGGAAGTACAGCTGAGAATGTGTTGGTTGATTTGGATGATTCTATTCGCAGATTAGCTATGGATACGGCGAATGACTCCGATAGACGATTTTCAGATGTTAGGATGGTAATCCAACGATTTTGAATAAGACATGATTTGGACGAGACGCTTCAGATTATTTGTCTTGGAACTTTGAGTAGGCGATTTGTGTTTCGGCAGTAAAGGGGAGAAGAAGAGTGCAACGGCGGAGGAAGTCAAAAGATGGCGGGCTAAAGAGCAGTCGTCAGGCAAATGGGCAGAGAAGCATAAGTTGATTTGTCAATTTTGTTCACCTCAATTTGCCTTGTCTATGCGAAATGGCCATTTGATGTTTTTCATTTCAAAATTCTAGGGCACTTGTTGAATATGTGCTACTCTGGAGTGTTCAGTACAGTCGAGAACCTCGACCCGTAACTCAAAATAAAAAGAATGTGAAACTGGAGAGACGATGAGAAGGAAGACCAAAACAGAAAGGAAAAAAAAAGAGAGGAAAAAGAGCAAGGAGGAGGAGGAGGAGGAGGAGGAGGAGGAGGAGAAGAAGAAGAAGAAGAAGAAGAAGAAGAAGAAGAAGAAGAAGAAGAAGAAGAAGAAGACAGGAGAAGAAGAAGAAGAAGAAGAAGAAGAAGAAGAAGAAGACAGGAGAAGAAGA